TAATGGAGCAAGTAATTAAGGAAATCATCTGCAAACACTTGGAAGGTGGTAAGGTGATAGGGAACAGCCAGCACGGATTTGTAAAGAACAAATCATGTCAAACCAATCTGATAGCTTTCTTCGATAGGATAACGAGTCTTGTGGATAAGGGAGAAGCTGTGGATGTGGTATACCTAGACTTTAGTAAGGCATTTGATACGGTCTCGCATGATATTCTTATCGATAAACTAGGCAAATACAATTTAGATGGGGCTACTATAAGGTGGGTGCATAACTGGCTGGATAACCGTACTCAGAGAGTTGTTATTAATGGTTCCCAATCCTGCTGGAAAGGCATAACGAGTGGGGTTCCGCAGGGGTCTGTTTTGGGACCGGCTCTGTTCAATATCTTCATTAACGACTTAGATATTGGTATAGAAAGTACGATTATTAAGTTTGCGGATGATACCAAACTGGGAGGGATTGCAACTGCTTTGGAGGACAGGGTCATAATTCAAAATGATCTGGACAAATTGGAGAAATGGTCTGAGTTAAACAGGATGAAGTTTAACAAAGACAAATGCAAAGTGCTCCACTTAGGAAGAAAAAATCAGTTTCACACATACAGAATGGGAAGAGACTGTCTAGGAAGGAGTACGGCAGAAAGGGATCTAGGGGTTATAGTGGACCACAAGCTAAATATGAGTCAACAGTGTGATGCTGTTGCAAAAAAAGCAAACGTGATTCTGGGATGTATTAACAGGTGTGTTGTGAGCAAGACACGAGAAGTCATTCTTCCGCTCTACTCTGCTCTGGTTAGGCCTCAGCTGGAGTATTGTGTCCAGTTCTGGGCACCGCATTTCAAGAAAGATGTGGAGAAATTGGAAAGGGTCCAGAGAAGGGCAACAAGAATGATTAAAGGTCTTGAGAACATGACCTATGAAGGAAGGCTGAAAGAATTGGGTTTGTTTAGTTTGGAAAAGAGAAGACTGAGAGGGGACCTGATAGCAGTTTTCAGGTATCTAAAAGGGTGTCATAAGGAGGAGGGAGAAAACTTGTTCACCTTAGCCTCTAAGGATAGAACAAGAAGCAATGGGCTTAAACTGCAGCAAGGGAGGTCTAGGTTGGACATTAGGAAAAAGTTCCTAACTGTCAGGGTGGTTAAACACTGGAATAAATTGCCTAGGGAGGTTGTGGAATCTCCATCTCTGGAGATATTTAAGAGTAGGTTAGATAAATGTCTATCAGGGATGGTCTAGACAGTATTTGGTCCTGCCATGCGGGCAGGGGACTGGACTCGATGACCTCTCGAGGTCCCTTCCAGTCCTAGAATCTATGAATCTATAAGTTAGGATGGGGGGAGTGTCTCAGGAGGGGGCAGTCAGGGGACAAGAGGCAGGGAGGCTTAGGTAGGGGGTGGAGTCCTGGGGGGCAGTTAGGGGCAGGGGTCACAGGAGGGGGCAGTCAGGGGACAAGGAGCGGGGGGAGGGTTGGGGGTTCTGAGGGGGGTGGGAAGTGGGAGGGGCAGGGGTGAGGCTAGGGCAGGACAGGGGCGGGGCTAGGGTAGGGCTCCTCCCGTCCTCTTTTTTGCTTGCTGAAATATGGTAACCCTACACAATTTCAAGTTTTTCTCTACAACCAGGAAGGCTAAAACTTTTTTTTTTTTTTAACGAAAGCTGAGACTGTTACACAATCCCAGGACTCCAGGAACTAAAGCTTTCAGAAAAGCAACAACTATCCCAAGACTGCTGATAAAATCATGCAAGTTGGCAGCCCAGCCCAAACTATGGGAGCAAAGCAGAGTGGCAGGGTGGGGCTCTCATGTGCCTGGTTGCCTGAGGGAAGGTGGGTGCATTTTAGAGCTGCTAGGTGCCTCATTTTCAACTGGAAAGCCTGATCAAAAGGGGACCGGTACTGTGTCTGGTTACCACAAATGGGAGAGGAGGGGGAGGGTGTCAGCATCTCATGGGCTGAAAGGCTCCACATCAGGGGCTGAAGCTCACATCCCAGCCCCAGAGCAGAGGGTCCCCAACTGGTGGTGGAGGGGGGGAGATAGAGAAGATCCAGTAACCCGGAAGGGGGAAGGACAGAAGAGTAGTAAGCAAGGAGCCACAGGGCATGGGAGGAGAAAGGAGTGAGCAGGGGAAGGGACCTCGAGAGAAGAGATAGGGTGGGAGGCAGGGCCCCAGGGGATCCAATTAGAAATTTAGGAAGCACCCCCCCCCCCCCAGCGGCCTGCCAGTGAGTGGGCGGATGGAGAGGAGCTCTCAGCCAGCCGGTGGGCTGGCCCAAGACCCGGCAATGTGTCTGTAGGTGGATACAAGTGTCCAAGATAAAAAGGTTGAGGTCTGTGGTAATTTTTCAAAAAATTGAATGCCGTAACCCCCCGGTGTCACGAAGTACGGTAATTTTGTCAAGTGCCTAGTGCACAACATGGTGGTGCGAACCCTGTCCGAGAGGAGCGACCAGGGGGTGGGGAGGAGCCGGCGAGCCAGGTCAAGGGGTGGAGAGAAGCCAGCGGCTGAAGGGCGCAGCGCAAGTCAAGCGGGCCGGGGCCCCTTTTGAGCGTGCGCCCGGCCCCATGGCGGCACTGTAAACCTAGGACTGCCCAGGATAGGGGTCGGGCTGCCCTGCCACGTGGCAGTAAACACTAAGGGGGCTCGCGGGTCCCACTCGCGCGGCCGCCACGGCAAAGCTGCCCCCACAGATCCCGAGCGACCCCCCCTCTGCCCCCAACTCTGCCGAGCCCGGCACACGCGCACAGCATCCCTGCCCGCCCAGACCACACCCCTCTCCTTCCCTGAAGGAACCTAAGCGCATGCGCGTAAACTCCACACGGCTGAAAATCCCTCGACTGCAGGACCCATGGCATCCACGGGAGGGGGAGGGGCAGAAGGAAGATGGGGGGGGCTACGCATGCGCATGTAGGCGGTGCCCAACTTTGTTTAGATGCTAGGGGCCGTTGAGGCTATCTCGGAGGGAGGGGTTCCCGTACACGAGCCTGGCCCACGTGATGCAGAGGAGCGGGTGCCTTGTTTGAATCCGCGGCGCAGAGAAGCGGGCGCGCGCCGGGTGCTGGGAGGGAGCGCACGCCGCAGCGCGCGGGCGGAGCAGGTGAGTGATCCGTGCAAGAGACCCAGCACGAGGGGACGGAAGTGGAACAGCCTCAGCGCCCCTTACGGGGGGAGGGGAGAGAACAGTCAGTAAGTCACCCCCGGCGGGAACAGCAGCAGCTGGGGCCTAGGAGCGCGGGGGACAGGGCCTGGGTCACCCGTGCAGCAGGCCTGGGCGGGGGAGCAGCCCGTGATCCCTGTGCTGGGCGCAGAGGTAGCCTGGCTAGTAGCCGGGTGCGTCAGGGCAAATGTGCCCTGGGAGAGCAGGGGCCATGCCCCACCCTGGCAGCCAGTGCCCCATAGCCCTGCCCTGCCTAGGGAGAGTGATGCCAGCCCACGTAGGGGAGCAGAGACCCCTGGGGATGGCTAGGGGCGGGGGAGGTGAGTGGCAGCCCATAGCACCCTATGGGGTAGGGAGGAGACATCCTGGGGACATCGAGGCAGGATGCCAAGAGTTATCTGGGATATACCAGTGCCTGGGTGGTAACGTGTCAGAAGGTGAAATTGCACCCAGCTAGTTGCCCCTGCCCAGTGATGGACTATGGTGGGGTGGGACTGCTGGCTGCCAGCTGGGTGGATGAGGGTGTTCTTTCTAGGTTTGTTAATGTTGTCCCCCCCCCCCCCCCCCCGTGCTGTGTGGGGAGAATTGGTGACCCTTATGCTGGGGCTTGTGTGTTTTCCTTCCCCTTTTTTCCTCTCTCAGGATGCTGGGTACATGTGGCATGCAACAACGTCACCAAGAGGTGCTAAAGAAGAACCGGGTGTCACTGGCAAAGCAGCTGGTGTTGAAGGAGTTGCTGGAGCATCTGATAGAGAAGGACATTATCACCATAGAAATGATGGAAACTATACAGGTATTCCTCACACTCCTGTTTGGCCTCAGCAGTTTGTATAATTTTGTCTTCTGTGAAATAGTGATATCACCAAACCCGTGTTCATATTAATTTCAGGTTTGCAGTCTGAGCTGGTCTGTGTCCTCCTTCCCCCCCCAGTACTTTGAAAACTCTGGCTATGCCTTCTCTGTTAAGGAAAAGCATTGTGTTCTAAAATAGTTTAACTAATATGTTAAACTTGATTTGGCATATAGCATAGGCAAGAACAAGTCATATTTAAATAGGTGTTAGTTGGTTGAGGTCAACTGTAGGGCACCGTGTCAATGATGAGGCAGCTGTGTAGAAGCTTAACCAAACAAATGTATATAAGAGAGAACAGAATGCTATTTGCATCCACTTGCCATGTAAATAGCACTAATGTCAGCAGTGGGCAGAGCATAAATCCTCTCAGGTTTTTCTGTGAGGGGGTGGGGTCAGAGCCTCTATTTTTAATAGGTCGTGATGAAAGCAGTGGTTTTGACAAAAATAAGTAAAACAAAAGTGGATCTTCATGGAGCATGAATCTCATAAGTTGAAAAGGTGAACAAACTCAAGAAAGGTTTGGAGGTTATTTTTAAAACACAGGTCTAATTGTCATCGGTGTGATATCATTGTAATCATATCTCTGCTATAGATGTGTAGTGTGATCTTTGCAAGTAACTTCACCCAGGGCCGGCTCCAGGGTTTTTGCTGCCCCAAGAAAAAAGCCGCGATCAGCTCTACCGCCGCCGCTTCAGTCTTCGGCGGCAATTCAGCGGCTGGTCCTTCGCTCCTAGAGGGAGTGAGGGACCCACTGCCGAATTGCCGCCGAAGACCCGGACGTGCCGCCCCAATAGCGGACGGAGTGCCGCCCCTCTCTGTTGGCCGCCCTAAGCACCTGCTTGCTGGGCTGGTGCCTGGAGCCGGCCCTGACTTCACCTCAACTCAGTTTCCCTAGAATAACACCTGCCTTCAAAAGGGTGGTATAATGCTGAAATACTTCATGTGCTTGTATATGGGGCCAATCCTGATTATGGTCATTAATTGCTTCTCCAATAAAATTGTTTAAAAAACGAATGTTGTCTAAACTGCTTTAAAAAGGTTGGATAGCAAGTGGTCTAATGATTACAGATAGTAACAGCACTTTGCTCTTCTTAGTACCTATCTTAGCTAGAGCAGTAGACTGATCAGTTGGGACAGTCATCTCTTATAAGTAGGGCTGTCAAGCGATTAATCATGCGATTGATCGCACTGGTAGTTTCCACATCAGAGTGTTGCTCTTTTAAGACTTCTGAAACCATGCTCCACACCTCATCCCTCTCAGATTTTTGAAAGGTACTTCAAATTCTTAAACCTTTGGTCGAGTACTGTAGCTATCTTTAGAAATCTTACATCCGTACCTTCTTTGCATTTTGTCAAATCTGCAGTGAAAATATTCTTAACTCAGCACATGTTGTTCATTTTATCATCCGAGACTACTGTAACATGAAATATATGGCAGAATGCAGGTAAAATAGAGCCGGAGACATACAATTCTTCCCAAAGGAGGTCAATCGCAAATGTAATTAGCGCATTATTTTTTTTAACGAGCATCATCAGCATGGAAGCATGTTCTCTGGAATGGTGGCCGAAGCATGAAGGGGCATATGAATGTTTAGCATATCTGGCACGTAAATACCTTGCAATGCCGGCTACAAAAGTCCCATGCGAACGCCTGTTCTCACTTTCTGGTGACATTTTAAATAAGAGGGCAGCATTATCTCCCATAAATGTAAACAAACTTGTTAGTCTTATCAATTGGCTGAACATGAAGTAGGACTGAGTGGACTTGTAGGCTCTAAAGTTTTGTTTGTGAGTGCAGTTATGTAACAAACAAATTTACATTTCTAAGTTGTGCTTTCACGATAAAGAGATAGCACTACAATACTTGTATGAGGTGAATTGAAAAATACTGTTTCTTTGGTTTATATTTTTATTACAAATATTTGCACTGTAAAAATACTAAAGTGAGCAGTGTACACTTTGTATTCTGTTTTGTAATTGAAATCAATATATTTGAAAATGTAGAAAAACATCCAAAAATATTTAATAAATTTCAATTGGAATTCTATTGTTCAACAATGCGATTAAAACTGGAATTGCGATTAACTTTTTTTGAGTTAATCGCGTGCGCTAACTCTGATTAATCAACAGCCCTACTTATAAGCTAAAGCAACTAAAGTTGCTATAACTTTGCAAATTTTTCACTTTTCAGGCTGGAGTTTTTGGGGCTTCATCTCTGGCTTAAAGGGGAACAAATTGAAAGGTAGATCAAAAAGAGCTCCACTGTTCTGAACTACAAAGAGAGAAAAGGAAAAGAAATTCCCCGCTATAGAAATATTCCTGTGGGCCTATTTTAAAAAACAGCATTAGTGATAAAACAATAGCTGACATTTAGCAAGGAGAAGAAATCTGAGTATCCTGCTCAAAATTGGTTTTGATTAGGTCAAGTGCTAGTAAATCTCACTATGTAGTTTGCAGCTCATAGTAGGTTCACCTTACAGAAGGCTGACGTGCACATATGTGTATAGCTAATTTACCTGCACAGTGTAAAAAATGTAGTGAAGTGCACAGAGTCCTTTGGACATCATTCATAAGGTATGTGGGATAGACCATTCTGATGAACTCCAGTTATAAATTTCCATGACATGGAGGTTCTAATTCCTACCGTTTTTCTTTTTTAAACCCTAAGAAATTTCATCCAAAAAACCGTTAATGCTCCTACAAGTGTTAATATTCCTTATTACATTTGTCTTTAATTATGCAAGCATATACTATTTCTCAAATACTATATCATAGTTCTTTTTTCTTACCAGTTTCGATACTTGTGTATAGCATCTTGTAACATTTTTCAAATTAACAGTATAAGCATAATGTTTCCTTAACTCATTTTCTCATGGATTTGTATATAGATGTATGGGACCTGGAACTGGGTGGTTGGGATATGATGGAAATTGTGTTTGAACGTAGAGTGTGGAATAAAGGAGGAACAGGATAGATACTGTACAGGGAAGTGGTGGGGTAAGAATCGTGTAGAGGAAAAATATGGAAGATACACAGCCTAGAGGGCATGATGATGGAGCATTTCAGATGAGGGAAGAGGATTTGAAACTCATTTTGAGATGTAATTAATGAATTCTGGAGGGTTTTTTTGTTCTGGTTTCTTAATTTTCTTATCTGTGGATCCAGGCCAAGGCTGGGAGCTTTAGCCAAAATGTAGAGTTACTGAATCTGCTGCCCAAGAGGGGCCCCACAGCCTTCTCAGCCTTCTGTGAAGCTCTGCGAGAAACCAAACAGCAGCACCTAGAGGAAATGCTCTTGAACGCCAGACCCAGCCTGAGCAATGGGATTGCAAGGGTAAGAGAGGACTACAAAATCAGGAAAATGGAACTCATTTGGGAATAGATGTGATCATGAAGGGCAGGTGTACCTTGAATGTAAACAAAAGAAATTTTTGGCTTTCGGAGAGAACCTGAGTGTAATAAGTGATAAGAAAAGGGTTGTGGGGATAATGTGAATTGGACTCGTATACTGTGAAGAAGCATAAAGGCCTGAAAAGGTTTGTTGTGGTGGATTTTTTTAAGTAAAAATTTAGGTCCTGTCTAGGCTGGAAGATTCTCTGACTAGAGAGCTGGTGAAAGTGAGTTGATATGAGGGGAAGGGATTTTGTTTTTGCTTTTTTTATTTACAGTGGCTAATGTTTGAATAAAGGAAGCCTTTGTTAAAGATTCAATACCAATACCATTACCATATTAACTAAGGTGATAAGATCTCTCAATAAGCACTTTATACTGGGGAAAGACCAGATTTTACAATCCTGATTGTTAAAAACAAGCAGAAAAATCCTTTTGGTCAAAATACAACACTTCCCAGGCATTCTTTATATGTCATAAAGAGGCAAGGGCAGGGGGAAGCACCAGCACAATTAAAAAAAAAAACCCTTTGAAAGTAGCCTAAAAGAGGGGAATATGGGGAGAGGGAGGTTGAGTGGGGCATATAGCTGAGATTAAAGATGAATCCAGAGAAGGTATCCTGAATGTGAGGAGGGGGAACTCTACAGGGGGATTCAGATGGGATTAGGTGAGCATGGAGAGGACGAGATCTTGAGTTTAAAGAAAACATAGCCTAATTTTCTTGAGCCATGAATTCCTTGTGACTGAGATCTGGATCAGAGTTGGTGATCTAAAGGTTTAAAGCTTTATATTCAATTCCTCAATCCCTACAGTTCTGTACTGGACAGATTAACAGGAATCTTTGACTGGTGACTTCATGGATTTGTATGATCTCTTGCAGCTGGGCCAAGATTATGAGTCAAGTGACCCGTTCCCAGTTCGTGAATCCTGCCTCTCACCAAAGAGACCACGCCAGATTGGTGGTGAGTAATCCATGGCATAGTGAAGGTTGAATTGGCCATTTCTTCAAGGGGCAAAATAGACTACTTCTTGCTCTCCTTCCCCTAAATCGGGGGGGCCAACCTGAGTCTGAGAAGGAACCAGAATTTACCAATGTACATTGCCAAAGAGACACAGTAATACGCCAGCAGTGCCTCCCATCAGCTCCCCCTGCTCCCAGCACCTCCCACTCACCGGCAGCCCCACCTATCAGTGCCTCCCTCTTCCTCCCCAACCTCCCGATCAGCTGTTCTGTGGTGTGCAGGAGGTTCTGTGGGGGGGGAGGAGCGAGGGCACGGCAGGCTCAGGGGAGGGGGCGAGAAGGGGTGGAGTGGGGACAGGGCCTGTGGCAGAGCCAGGGGTTGAGCAGTGAGCACCCCCCTAGCACATTGGAAAGTTGGTGCCTATAGCTCCAGCCCCGGAGTTGGTGCCTATACAAGCAGCTGTATATTAACTTCTGAAGAGCTGCTTGTAGCTCTGGAGCCACAGGTTGGCCACCCCTGCCCTAAATACTTTTTAAATTTAAAGTCCAGTTTTGTCTGTGAATCATTGCAAAGAAACTTCATTAGAAATTTTTCTGTGAGTGCAATTTTAGGGCCTGGATATGTAGTTGCTTTTAATGGTACCCCAACAGACAGGTTCCCTGCTTTCACTTCTGGTGCCCAGCTCCACCTTAGCATGGACCAGTGGCAGGTCTGGGCTGCCCCTGCCCCGGCCATGCAGTGTGACAGGTTGGACCCCTTAGGATGCCACCTGATGTGCTGAGATACCACTGAACCCGCCTGTTATGCCAACCTGAGGCCCTTTTTACCTGTCTTGCTGAGCCAGGCCATTAAGCCTCCTCCAGCAAACACACAGGCAGGGCCATACCCAACTGCAGAACGAAACAGACACTGAGATCAGATCTGGGAAGGCTCAGCTTAAGGGACTTGCCCAAGCACTCAGGTGTCCACCTCCCTTGGAGTACAGACACAAAGGTATATTATGAAATCCACCTCCTCTCTCAATGTGGAGGAAAGTATGCACAACTTCTCTTTTCCCCCCCCCCCTCCCCGAAATTACAGAAACTGGGTTTAATAAGAAACAAAACAAATTTTATTAACTATAAAAGGCAGATTTTAAGTGGTTAAAGGGGTAGCAAACAGAACAAAGCAAATTCCTAAGGAAATAAAACCAAAGACGCAAACTAAGCTTGTTTCACTAAAGAAATTGGTTACAAATTGTAATTTCTCACCGGAGATATTGTTGCAGGCAGATTATAGAAAGTTTTGAAAGGCAGATGCAGTGGTCTCCAGCTTGAAGCCTCAGTATTACTCACAAGCTAGACGCCCTTCCAGCTTGGGCTCAATCCTTCTCCCCCAGTTCAGTTAGGGTGGAGAGGCAGAGGAGACTCCTAATGATGTCACTCCCCTGCCTTATATAGCTCTTGTGTAAGGCGGGAACTCTTTGTCTTCTAGTGGAAAAACACTGCCATTCCAAAAGGGGAGGGAGGGGTATCTAGTACCAGGTGACTCGGACCCATGACTCTGCATGGCTCTGGTAGCCATTGACCGTAGGCTGTCTCCAGCGTCCACAAGAAGACTAAGTGCTTTCACAGTCCATTGCCTCTGCTAATGGCCCATTAGCCCTGTCTGGCTTTTCCATTGTTGTACCTGAAGAGCTGGTTGGGGCTGACACCCAAAGTAACAGATTTGAAATACAGATACATAGTTAATATTCCTAATTTCAGATACAGAAATGATACAGGCATACAAATTGGATAATCACATTCAGTAAATCATAACCTTTCCAATGATATGTCCTATGAGCCATCTTGCATAAAGTATATCTCAATTATGTCATATTCATATCCTAAGCATATTGTCATAAAGAATATGGAATGAAACATCATGGGCAGGTCTGGGGCTGAGTGGGTGCCCCCATAGGTGCCGACTCCGTGGGTGTTCCAGGGCTGGAGCACCCACAGAGAAGAATTAGCTGATGCTGCTCAGCAGCATCCACCGGCAGCCAAGCTCCCTCCTCCCCGAGCGCCTCTCACCTGCCGGTGGCTCCGTTGACCAACTCCTCTCCCTCCCTCCCAGCGCCTCCCGCTGCTGCAAACAGCTGTTTTGCAGTGTGTAGGAAGCTCTGGGAGGTAGAAGAGGGGAACGGGGCATTCTCTGGGGAAGAGGTGGGGCGGGGAAGGTGGAGCGGGGGCAGGGACTTGGGGAAGGGGTTGGGGTGGGGGGTCGAGCACTCCCCGGCTAGCGAGGAATTTCAGTGCCTATGGGCGCCTCTCCCCTGGCTGCAGCAAGTCCTGGCTGGGCGGGTTCCCTGAGCACCTGCGTGGCGCTAAATAGGCTGCTGCATAGCCGCACAGCTTACAGGGAACTTAGCACATCATATCTCTTTTTATCCCTTGCTTAAAAGTAAGAATTAAAAACTTTTAATTAAAAAAATAAAACCTTCCTTTACATTGCTGAAATTCTAATTGACACACTGCCAATCTGTATATATCACACGGAATGTCAAAACAAATTGCACCACTGTTTTGCCTTAAAAGGTGCAGATTTTTTTAATGATTATAAAAAGTAAGTTTAAAAAACCCCAAAACTGGAATTGTTTAAACTGCTTAAGCACCGTTTTTAGAACTTTCATACGTACCATTCAAGTTATTTATATATCAGGATTATTGTTGCTTTTTGAAAAAAAAATTCACAGAAAAACTGCTCACAGAACTGACAGTAAGCTGATACAACAGTGACAGCATAGGTGCCAAGCACCCATGGAGAAAAATTAGCGGGTGCTTAGCACCCACCAGCAGCCAAGCTCCCCTCCCTTCCCCCCACTCCTGCTCACCCCCCCCCCCCCATCCCCGCTTATCAACTCCTTCCCCTCTCTCCTGTATGCAGCAGAGCAGCTGTTCAGTGGCATGCGGTGCAAGAGGTGCTGGGAGGGAGGAGCAGGGGAGGGGGCGGAAAGAGGCAGGGCAGGGGTGGAGCCGGAGTGGGAAGAGGTGGAGCCTTGGGGGAAGGAGTGGAGTGGGGTGGGGATTGAGCACCCTTGGGGAAAATTAGAAGCCGGTGCCTGTGAGTGACAGTATGTGACATCACAGAACAACAAAACATGTGAGTGTGATTCTCTGACCAGACTTGAGCCGGTGTACTACATTGGATTCGGGCAAGGGAGATAAACATATATGAGAGAGAGAGAGGCTCAGTCAAAATATTTAGCAATTTCCTGAATAGGCTACTTTTAGTAAACTGACGAGAGATTTAGTGTTTTCCTGAAAATTACCACAGTCTGTTTTTATTATTTTTTTTTTTTTTTTGCCCACCCAACAAAATACGCCTGCAACAAAATACATTTTACCTGTTCCCACTATTATGGCAGCTGGTTCTGCCATATTATGGGATCCCAGTCCCGCTGCAGGTGACTGAAAAGTGACTAAAAATTATCTCTTGGGAGACTGCTTCCTATATGTATTATTCAGTCATATATACTCATTTTAATAACTACAAAGATTCTACTGCTTTTTTTTCTCCTGCTGCAGAAACAGCATAGCTCAGAAGGCGTGAGCTAGGTTCCCTTCCCTGTTGTGCAGTTCCAATTAATTCCTCTGAGACAAAAGCCATTAAAAACAATGGGATTGCATGAGTGTCACTGAAGGCATAATTGGTGGTGATGGATGAGGAGGAGAAAGCCCAGCTTGATAAATTAAACTGTGTCACTTGTCCACAACCCAGTTACCTTTAATGGGTTTGCATGGATGTAACTGATTGGAACTTGGTAAACAATTCTGTTGATGCACAAGAAGCAATAGGCTCCAGTTCCTTTCTCTGAGAAGTATTGTCTGTGCAGGGCAAACAGCAGTAAAAGCCGTAATAACTTCTCATTCATGTCACAGTGCTGACTCCAAATACCCACAAGAGGCTGGCCTATTGGATGAAAGATGAGTGGAAACATCTTACAGTAGAACCACACTTTAACATTAGGTAGTTAACATTTGTGCAGCGCTTTCAATATGCGAAGCATTGTATACTATGTCTAAGTAGCTATTCCATGTTAAATATGTTTTGCAGCCAGAACTTTCGTTTGTTCATTGCTGATTTCTGTATCTCTCAAATAGAGCTGATGGAGCATTCCTTGGATAATGGAGATGGTCCTCCATGCATTCCGGTGAAGCCATGCACCCCAGAATTCTATCATGCTCACCAGCGCTTGGTGAGTACTTGGTGGGGCAGGAACTGAGGGAGTACTCACCCCTACAGGTGGGATGGTTGGATGAGCTGAAGAAAGAGCACTCCACAAGCAGACTGGGTGAAGAAAAAATGCATTTTGGGCTGTAGATACATATTGACGCACATGTAACTCAAAGGTGTTACTTGCCATAGTCCACCTCATGTGGCTCCCACCAGCAAGAGTCAAAGAAAACCCTGGATCAGTGTCATAATCCTGTGCTACAAACACATGCTCCTGGAACTTCTTGAGACAGCTGTTCCAGTCTCACTCTTTATGCCAACATTCACAACTACATGTGCCTGTCAGTCCATGCACATGTTTTATCTGTGTTGGGGCTGACAAACTCTGCTGCTTTCGTTTTGTCTCAGCTGGAAAGGGAGGAGTTGACATCCAGTTCCTGTGAGCCTGGGGAGCTATTCCGTACAAATCCTATGGGAGAAGCAACTAATCCTCCACGGTGGTCTGTAGTTCTTAGTACCTGTTATGAATGATGGAGCCTTCACCCCATGTAGGAAGCCAAATAGAGTGTTTCTAGCCCAAGATGGTTTCTCTATCTGTACCTTTGCATCTCTTATGCCCCAAAGGTCATGCACATCTCATCACAATAATGGAATGGGTGTGTAGTACTCTGTAACTTTATTTCTTTTCCCACATGGCTGGATTTACTTATTTTCTGCCCTTCTCTGTTGTTAACAGGCTTATAAGTTGATATCACAGCCCCGAGGCCTGGCACTCGTGCTCAGCAACATGCATTTCAGCAGTGAGAAGGACCTGGAGTTCCGTTCAGGTGGAGATGTGGATTACACTACTCTGGAGATGCTCTTCAAGCACCTTGGCTACAGGGTGACTGTCCTGCATGATCAAACTGTGCAGGTGAGGAGGTTCCTTTGCTGCCTAGAGAGGGGTTGGGGGCTTGTAACTATTGCATTGGTGTCTTGAGGACAAGCTGAGAGTCAATGGAAGGGAAGGATGGGACTGGGTAATGATAAGGGGCAGTGTCAATGAGACACTCTCTCCATTAGGATATGGTTGACAATATGATAGTGTTTGAGAGCCCCTGTATGGAAGGTCTAAGATTAATGTTTCCATATAAATATTTGTGTTGGAGAATATATGGTCTGTGAAGGATTCAGATCTTTAGGGATGTTACCTTATCACTGTCATACTCTTCAGTAGTAAAGCTGGGGGTTTAACTGCAGCTGTAGTATTTTTTTTTTTTCTTAACATTTGTTACTCTAACAAGCTTAACTTAATGTTAACAAAGGACGTGGTTGTTGTTGTTTTTTTTTTTTTTTTTTTTTTTTTTTTTTTTTTGTTCTGGTTAAATAATCAGCATTTCTCTATTCCATTCTGAGGATCTTGTAGAACCTCACAAATATTCACTGATTAAACCTCACAGTGAGAGTGTGAAGTACTAACCCATTTTGTAAACTGAAGTGACTTGCACAAAGTCTTGTGGAAATTAAGGTTAGAGGCTCTCTTAAAACCCAGGTCTTTTGACTTCCAGGCCTATGGTCTTGCCAGTGGACTTCTGTCTCCTCAGCAAACTTGTTCCTCATTTGCTAGTTCAGTAGGAGTGTTCTTCCCTCTGAGTTGGTACTGAACCAAATGATGCCCACTAAGGGGTGCTGTGCTGCTCCAGAAGCCATTTTCTGGATAACAGATCAAATCCAAGGACCTGTCTACTCATGGTTATTAAAGATCCATCCATTGTAAATAGTTCTACCATAGAAACAACAAGGAGTCCAGTGGCACCTTAAAGACTAACAGATTTATTCTTAAGATGCATGGAGTGAAAATTACAGATACAGCCTGTATCTGTAATTTTCACTCCATGCATCTGAAGAAGTGGGGTTTTTTACCCACAAAAGTTTATGCCCAAATAAATCTGTTAGTCTTTAAGGTGCCACTGGACTCCTCGTTGTTTTGGTGGATACAGACAAACATGGCTACCCCTCTGATACTTGGCAGTTCTACCATGTTCATCACTGTTAGTATCTAAGTACCTGAGTTACCATGGGCACTTATCCCAAAAGCTGCCCCAGTATTCTGACCAGGTTCTGGCAAATTATATTCTGTCAACCTAAACTCCCTGTGCAGTGGTAATTGTCTATGGAATTTCTTATCTCTTAAATGTCTGTGTCTCACACCTAAGGCAGCTGAATTTCAGAAGTGGTTGAGTGATTCTTATGTAGAGCCTACAAAGCGTTTTTGGATCCTTAGGAATGAAAGATACTAAAGAAATAAGGGCATTTTGCTGCTGTTTAAAAGCATTAGAATATTCCTTCATCCCTATCCTCCCCCTTAAATTAGGTTTGTGGTTCACTACTCCTGGGGGAATTCTGTGCCAAAAAATTCAAATTCTGTGCACAATAATTTTAAAATTCTGCATATTTTATTTGTGAAAACAACACTATATAATCATGCCAGTTTCAATTATTTTGGTAATTTATTTCAAAATACCTATCAGCAGCTGTGTCTGTAACAGTACACACACAAATTCCTCCAGGAGTAGAGACTTAAGAAACCCCTACGACAACCCAGTTCCTGTTTCTCTTCTCCCTCCCCCCCAGAGCCCAGTAGGGGAGCTAGACACCCACACTCCCTCTGCCCCCAGAGCCCAGCTGTGGGGTGTGTCCCCCCCCCCCGCCCCTCTGCCCCCCCCCCCCCCCCCCCCCCCCCCCCCCCCGCCCCCCCCCCCCCCCGCCCAGACACTTGCACACCCTCCCCCTCAGAGCCCAGGGATCGAGACGGAGAACAAGCCTGATGCTGGATCCCGGGCCTGTGTGGAGTTTCCTGCATGCTGCATCTTTTCAGGGTGTGCTCCCTCCCTCTTCCCCCCGACAGTGTCTTTTACTTTCAAGCTGTTCTCTGCCAGGTCCAGCGGCCCCTAGTGGCAGCCAGCAGCTCATTTCTGTGGAGGAAAAGAAAATTCTGCGCAAAAAGCATTAATTTCTGTGCAAATTCTGCATGCACAGTGGCACAGAATTCCCCCAGGAGTATCACTTGGCTCCTTCCACTCGTTTCCCTTTCTGAAGGGACCACTGAGTGTGTTTCTCTCCCTCCAGGAGATGCAGGAGGCATTGCAAATGTTTTCTCAGCTGCCAGCTCACCGAGATGTGGATTCCTGCATTGTGGCTCTACTCTCGCATGGCATCGAGGGTGGGATCTATGGAGTTGATGGCAAGTTACTGCAGGTACCTTCCTACATACTAATCCCTTCCATAGCTTTAGGAAGCAGTACTGGGGGGGAGGGATATTGGCAGGGCAAGCAGGTAATGGGAGGCTGGAAGCACATGTGGAGTGGTTGGGAATTGGTGGGGAACTCAATGTAATACTGAGAAGAATCGCATGTAAGAAGCATAAAGGGAAACTATGGGAAATTGGGTGTTAATGAGGAGGCACATATGGAAGGAAGGGGAAGTACCATGGGGATGTGCTTAGTTCTCTTCTTTCTTCTCACAGTTGCAGGAGATTTTCAGGCTCTTTGATAATGCAAACTGCCCAAGTCTCCAGAACAAGCCCAAAATGTTCTTCATTCAGGCCTGTCGTGGAGGTGAGTGATGACAGGGATCATGAGGGCCAGATACTTGGCACAGCATTAAAGCTGGACTCTGGGTTATACACACACACACACACACTTTCCCATCCAATTTGCTGTCAACTCTCCTCTTTGCTTCTCTCAGGTGTAAGCGGAACCCACATTCACCTCCCTCTGCCCTGCTGCTGCCTCTGTTGCTCTGTAAGTGCCTCTCACTCTGCATGGGGTGTGTGCATTGAATCACAGACCCCACAGCACCCTGGGAATGGCAAGTTCCATCATGGCATTTCTACTTGGGGCTTTCTCTTGCTGTGCCTGCATGGGGGAATAGGGGCATATAATGATATCATAAATCCCTGTGCAGTATGGAGTGATGCATCTGTACTCTCGAGTCTTGTCTGAAATCCTGCTCCTCCTCTCTCCCCCCCCCCCCCCCCGCCCCCCGTGTCCTGGAGCTGTTATCTGCTCTTTCCCTATCCTGAGCTCCCAGAACTGGCTTCTTCTAATGTCGGAGCCCTTTCCTCTTACCTCCCTTCTGGTCCCCAAACCAGTGTTCCCTCTAATTTTTTTACGTCCATTACGGAATGAATTTATGTGCACCAATATGGAGGTGATGTGGGGTGGGGTCAAGGGGTTTGGAGTGTGGGAGGGAGCAGAGGGTTGGGATGCAGGGGGGGATGAGGATTCTGGCTGGGGGTGTGGAATCTAGGGGGGCAGGGATGAGGGGTTCAGGGTGCAGGAGGGGGCTGAGGCAGAGGGTTGGGGTGCAAGCTCTGGGAATGAGGGGTTTGGGGTGCAGGCTGCCTCTGGGCTGCGGTGGGGAGAGAGGATTCCCCCCAGCTCTCTCTCGCTGCAGCAGCTCGGGGGTGGGGGAGGGGCGCCTCTCCTGGGCCATGGCAGCTCCGGCAGGGCTGGGCTGGACTGTGCCGGGGGAGTAGCTCCTCTCCCCGGCAGCTCTGGTAGGCCTGGGCTGGGCCAGGGGAGAGGCTCCTCTCCCCGGCTGCGGCAGCTCTGGCGGGCCTGTGCTGTGCGGGCTCCTCTTCTGGGATGTGGTAGCTCTGGCGGGCCTGGGCTGGGGCTGGGGGAGGGGCTCCTCTTCTGGGATGTGGTAGCTCTGGTAGGCCTGGGCTGGGCTGGGGGTGGGGCTCCTCTCCCCGGCAGCTCTGGCGGGTCTGGGCTGGGGCCGGCTGGCAGAGGGGCCTGCTTTGATAGCCCGCTGCGCATCTTACAGGAACTTAGCCCTAAACCCTCATCCATGTCTCTTCCCACCTCTTTGTCTCCTCCTGTTCCTGAAGTGCTTTCCTTTCTCCATCCATGCGCTATGTCTACTCTTACGGCAGCATGTAGAGTATATACACTGCACACACCCCTAGCACGCTTATAAATAGAGTAGTTGATATGGCACTGCTTAGGTGAGTAGATACCTGCCTGAACCTTAGGATGTATACCCTGTGCGGCTCTCTACATGCCCAAGCAATGCCTCCCAGTTTTAGCAGTGTAGTGTCCCACTGCTGGAGCCTTTTCCCCACAACAGTGAAAGGCTGAAGCAGCAGGGAAAGGCTTGTGCAGTGGGGAGGCAGCTGGGAAAGGCTCTGGCAGGTGGAGCTGCCGGAGCCTTTCCCTGCTGCCTTTCATTGCCAGATGTAACTCCACACCACAGCCTGCTTTTCACAGCTGTGTGTAGCTGCATGTCATTACTCCCAGAGGAGGAGTTCATCACAGCACCCTGCCCATGGAGTCAGGTTAGGACAGAGTGGGGCACAGGGGGCTTCTGGGGGAGTGTCACTGGGGGGGTTCAGAATGGCTAGTGTGGGGTGGGAACAGACTGAGGCATAGGCTCAGGAGCTAGTGGGGTGACAGCCTTGAACCAGGGGCTGAATGGGAGTGGGGGTGCAAGGTCACATAAGGAGGGCGGGAGGGGGGCTGCAGGGACACATGGGGATGCGGGGAGGAGGCTGCAGACACCCATGGGAATGGACGGCGGGTGCCAGGACAGGGACAGATGTGCCTGACTGAATGGGAGAGGCTTGGGGTCTACATGGGGGAGGCTCCCCAACTCCCTAACAATCCCTCCCTCTCCCCCCCCCCCCCCCCCCCCCCCCCCCCCCCCC